TATTTATTACATTTATTTATTGTGTGTGTGTGTGTGGCCAGCTCAGCCCACCAGGGGGCGGGGCTGGCTGGCATGTGGTGCTGGGGATCGAACCGTGGTCCCTGTGCTTTGCCAAGCTTGATTCAAGTAGGTGCTTTAGACCACTGAGCCATCTCTCCAGCCCTATTTATTTATTTTTTGCTCTGAATGCCCTCAGGGGTGGTTTGGCCGGCTGGAGTGTTGTGGGGATCGAACTACAGCATCCTGGGGCTGACAGCTTTATGGAAGCAGCCACTTAAACAACTGAGCTAAGGCCAGGCCCCTTTATAAGGATTTTTTTTTTTTTTTTTTTGTTCCTCGAACGCCTTCAGGGCACTTTTGGCCAGCGGGAGAGTTGTGAGGTTCGAACTCCAGCCACCTGAGGCTGACAGCTTTGTGGAAGCAGCCAATGAAAGGCCTGAGCTAGGGCCGGGCCCCCCCTATAGTATTTAGATGCCAATATAATACCCACCTCTGACAGGACTAAACAAAAAAAAGGGAATATAAAGGAAAAATCATTTTGTATTTGTATATACAAAATAGGATAGATATACAGCTACTTTCGCTTAATTCAATGAGGAGAAAGAGGTGTACTGATAGTGTTTGGACAGGATATCCTGTCTGTTTCTTGTACTATGGATAACCACTAAGAAGATAACAATGTACAATGTAATGATTATTGAAACTGTCCTATTAATCAGCTTTGAAGCTGTCTCATTCATATGTTTCTCAAATAAATAAATAAATAAATAAAAAGAGAGAACACACACAATGAATTTAATTTTTCATGGATTGTGTTTCAAGTTCCAGGGGACCTTCTACTGTTATTGTGGTACTGGGGATTGAACCCAGGGTGTGCTAAGACTGTGCTACATTCTCAGCTCTTTTTAATCTTTCGAGACAGGGTCTCACTAAGTTGCCCAGGCTGGGTCTGGACTTGTGATCCTCACGCCTCAGCCAAGTAGCTGGGATTATAGGCATGCACCACTGCACTTGGCACAAGGGACTTTCTTAAATGCAAGAGGCTACTTCTTGTCTCAGATCTTATCAAATGCTGTTCTCCCTCATTTTCACTAAATAATGACTACTTATCTTTTTTTTTTAAAGGAATGAATTTCACATTTGCTACTATACCATGTACTTACTACAACATTTGTAGTTTTTTGTTCGTTTCTAAAACAATCCAGAGCCAGCGCGATAGCTCAGCGGACTAAGAGCCTGCTAAGGCAAGCACAGGGACTGGGTCAATCCCTGGCACCACATGCTATGCCAGCCCCGCCCCTGGGCACGCTGAGACAGCCACACAGACTGGGCATGGTGGTGCACACCTGTAATCCCAGCACTGGGGAGGCTGAAAACAGGAGGATCACTATGAGTTTGAGCTGCCAAATACATAAAAATAAATAAGTCCAAGGTGGCCCTGAACTTTACCACATAGTCCAGGCTGGCCTTGAACTTGTGGTGATCCTCCTACTTGCCTCTTGCATTTAAGAAAGTCCCTTGTGCCAAGTGCAGTGGTGCATGTGCCAGGTAGTTTGTCTTTTTATTTTTTTTTTCATAATTTTATTGATAAATAGCAATGAGACAGTTTCAAATCAAATCGCTAGGACAGTTTGCCTTTTTAAAACTAATTTAAGGGCCTGGAGAGATGGCTCAGTGGTCTAAAGCACCTACTTGGAACAAGCTTGGCAAAGCACAGGGACCGTGGTTCGATCCCCCAGCACCACATGCCAGCCAGCCCCGCCCCCTGGTGGGCTGAGCTGGCCACACACACACAATAAATAAATG